CAGCGATGGTGCTTGCTAAGAACTTGGTTGCACATAATAATATTTTATTCAGGAAAGCCACATAATACTGAACAGTTCATAATCTTGGAAAAAGTAGAAGGAAGGAGAAAAGATGAGGATAACCAGCAACAAGCTGGAGGCAGTTACAGTGATGATGGAGGCACCTTTGGAAGACTTGAAGCATCAAGTCAGGGACAGATCTTCCTGGAGAAGATCTATCTTTGTGGTCACCAGCAGCGGACAACCAATTTGGCAGCTCATAACCAATCAAGTTGGAATGAAGAGTCTTGCCATAATCATTTCTGCTTCCCTTAAAGGATTCCTTCCTTCATTGTGTGAACTTTTAGATTACTTTCAGTATCAAAGTAGTCTGATGCATTTTGTCGTGAGCACGTGGCAGTGGTTTTCTGAAATATTTTAATTTGTTCTTGTTTTATTAAGTAGTCTTTCCCCCCCCACTCATAGTAACGAGTTTCACACTCATATTGATAAATCTCAGGAATCCACTTCACAGAATAGTTGTGACTTGTAACCAGGAGACAGAGTAGGTCCCACAGGGACTCCATGCAGCAGATTTTTCAGCTCAAATGATCGGATTTTCTCCTTGTCTGCAAAATATCCGCTACGAAATGCTTGTGAATGAGCCAAACGAAAAAGTCAGCTTTCTGCGGCATACGATTCTGCCCCTAAAAGAAACTGCCTCTGTCCCATGACACGGAAATGAAGCCAAGGGGGTGACAGTCTCTAGGCCTTTGACACGATGCCACTTGGCAGAGCAGATCTCCTGCAGGTAAATTAACTAGGTTTGTTCCTTTCATTTATTGATTCAATTTCTCATAGCTGTCCAAATTGGCCAAGAGAGTCCTAGGCGGATTACAATTCTGAAATTATAAAACAAAACAATTAAAAAACATGACATTTTTTTAAAAAAAACCAACAGTAACAGTAGCACTGAATGGTTTTTGTGAAGTGCTGTGCATGTTCAACATCTAACTCTGCCCTCAGCCTTGATAAAACCACGGCTGAATTTAAACAGGCCTCTTGGGAGCAAGTCATTCAAAGCTATCCAAATCAGCTACACTACAATTCTCTCTCCCCCCCCCCCCGAATTATCCCTAGATACAGGTAGTCCTTGACTTAAAACAGTTCATTTAGTGACTGTTCCAAGTTACAACGGCACTGAAAAAAGCGACTTACGGCCACTTTTCACACTGCAGTATCCCCATGATACATTTGTAATGCTTTGATGTGATAAGGAAGTGGTGTTTTTGCAAAATATCTCTGCAGTCCTTTAATGTGAAATTCATCCTGTGGCCGAGGGGTCCCCACTCCCCGGGCCGTGGACTGGCCAGAATCCAGGCCACGCAAACAAGTGTAGCCCCATCTGTGGGATGCAGGCAGCACGTGAAAACACGCCTCTCCACAGAATCAGTCCCTGGTGCCCCAAAGGTTGGGGGCCGCTGCTGTAGTGTAGGCCACCCAGAGTCACTTCTTGAGAGATGGGCAGCCATATAAATGTGATCAACCAACCAACTGAGTGTTTTGTTCCACCCAGGGCATCCTCTTGGTGTATGACATCACCAATCGCTGGTCTTTTGATGGCATAGACCGATGGATCAAGGAAATTGATGAGGTAAGCAGGGGCTGCCATTACGACCCGGGGCTTTTGAATACTTTTAAATGCAGTAAAGCTGACCTTTGGTACGTTCACGCTGTTCCGTGTTGAGGTCAGCAACTTATGCCAAGTGTTAAAAAAAAAGGAGTAAGAAACAAGAGAGCTAAGGAAAGGAAAGGCATGGGAGAAGTAAAAACGAAAAGCGAAACCGGTGGATGCCTGCCCCATTAACTGTATCCATATGTTCTTGCAGTTGCAAATGATGACCCCAAAGGTGCTTTCCAAAAGGCGACTGGACTCTTTCTTTCTTTCTTTCTTTCTTTCTTTCTTTCTTTCTTTCTTTCTTTCTTTCTTTC